TTAAGGGCTGCTTAAAAAACCAAAAAAAGTTTCCCCTTTCTTTTTTTTTTTTTTTTTGTTTAGGGCTTTTTGGTTTTGTGGGATTTCTTAACTCTTTGATAATTTTTGCACTAACTCTGGCCCAAATTAGTCTTCCCAGATGCAGAGAAGTTTTCATTCACCTGCAGATTTCTACTGTCTGGAGAAATTCATCTCGTTTCAGTGTTCCTCTCTTTCACGGTTGCTCAGGAGACCATGGAAGCCATGGGGCGGTGTGACAGGACTAAGAGAGGGGCTGGGCAGGGCTTCAAGGACCTTGCACACACCCTGCTGAAGTGTGATAGAAAAACTAAAGCAGCCCAGCTGTCCTGCCCCTCAGTGCAGATGCAGCAGCAGAACTTCATTCCCTGGGGCAAGAGGCAGGGCTTGGACTTCGAAGATCTCAGCAAAGATATCCCTCAGGCACCCAGCATGAAAAGGGACCTTTTCTTTGATCTGAAACTCAGTTGGTTTCCCAGTCTCCCAGTTATATTTTGAGCCCTTTTTTTCAGTATTTCACTGCCATGGGTACCAGAGAACATCTGCAGCCTCCTGGGATTAACCTGTAATGTCCACCAGATCTGGTTTCATGACAAGCTAACCCAATGAAAGAAAGGGGTGATTCCAGAAAAACTGTTAAACAACATTTTTTCATAGGAATAAAAAGGGATATTTATTATAGCAAAGGGAAAGGAAGAAGCATTGCTGCAAGCAATGAGGAGCTCATGAAATACTGGGAAATCTTCCTGTGCTGTGCAAAGTCACTGACTCCCCATCACAAAGAAGGAATTTATTTAAACCTGGGGAAGAGCCTGCTAGAAAAATGAGACACAGGATCCAGGGTTGTGGTACCCTGGTACATCTGGCTGGCGTAAGACTGGGAATAAGAACAAGGGATCCCCAAGTACTTCCAAGCTAATATTTGACATGCCAAGCTTTGAGAACAAAATGATGTCTTCTAGCTCTCCAGCATGGAGTGTGCTGCCAGACAGGAAGAGACTCTTAACTTCTCATCCAATGGGATCTGCCAGTTCCTCCTGATTGGAGTGAAGGCTGATGGATATTCAGGGGGGATGAATGACAGTTCAGTAGGAAAGGACTGACTGAACAGTTGTATGTGACTTCACTCATCTGCTTGCAGTATATCACTTATCATGATGGTATTTAGAAGTCTTCCTGGCAGGGGTCCCATCTACCCATTCATTTGAAATCTTAAAGAAAAATAAATAGTTAACTAAGGTATTCACTTTCTATCATGTAGAATTAGGTTTTGTTTGGGTTTTTTTTTTCTGGCTTCTTTACCTCACAAAAAGCCACAAAAGTGCTTATTTTTAAGGTAAAACTGAAAGCTGTTGACAGTGGAAAGAAAACAGTGTCCTCCAGGTCATTTATTAAAAGACTTGACTTTGGATGTGAATGGAAGAGCTAAATTAAATTGCCATATAAGTAGAGCTCACCTATTCTACATGGTCAAGTAATGATGTATATACACTAAAGACAGCATGATTTTTGTGTAATACACTCAACTACAGATAATATGTGCTCATCTGGATGAATAAGTGTAAGACCCCTGCTTGGCTCCCTCCCCTGACCACCACTGCCAAAGTACCTAGTGATTAATGTGCTCTCCAGCAAATGAGATCAGCTCTGTCTGATTGTATTAGTTCCTGTTCATTGGAGTAACTGAGCATCAATCACGTTCTAATCAGAGTTCACGTATGCTGATTATTTCTGCAAACAGCCTCACCATCAGGCTCTATCATAGCCTAGATTAACTTCTTAGTAATGACAAATCTTAATAAAAAGTATTTTCACCTAAATAATAAACACACTTTCATTTTTAACAGAACAATCTTGTCACTACATATTGTTGTTATAGCTTTGAAGTCTGCAAAAGATAAAAACAATACGTTTAGAGCAGTAGTTATTACTGTTATGCAGATGGATTAATAATCTAAGTACTGCAGCATCTCTTTGGAGTACAATTGTCAATATGCAATTTTTACCTTTATTAATAGTCCTTTTTTAAAAACTACCAAAAGACTCAAATTAAGTGACCTTACTGTTCCAGTGAACTGTTTCTTAAGAGGTACCAGAACCTAAATATTATTTAAATTATGATTCTCCAATAAAAAAATATTCTGGTAATGCACAGCAATACTTGTCATATTCATAAAGCAAGGAGCTTAGAGGAGTGAATCAAAAGATGAGCATCAGTTCTGATATATCTGACTCCTAAAAAGAAATAATTAAATTAAAGAGAGCCCTTTTCTTTTGTCAAATGTTTCCAGCTCCTCTACTCAAGTTTCTTACAATCAAGAGCAGCACACTGTTTAGTGACAGGTTTGGTAATTGTGCATGACTAATAACGCCTCAGTGTCTGGGCAGTACAATAAATGAAGCCCTCACAATCTAATGTTCCCACTTAATAATTACTCCCTGCATTGATCTTTCTGATCTGTCAAGTAGGAATGAAAATATTACACTCACTTTAAACCCTGATATTGAACAAGAATTCCATTACTACCAGGCAACTATCCAGAGAGTGGTCTTACCACACTAATGAGGACAGCAGCATTTCATCTGGCCAGAGGAGAGAGACTCTAGGCCTGGAAGTAAGTGGCTGCCCATCCTGTAAAACACTCTAGGAATTCCCATCAAGGATAAGCAAAATGGTTTGAAAATATCTGAAAAGTCCTGGTTTTTCAAAGTTTCCCAATATCTACATGATTTTAATGCACTGTTGTTCTGTGCCAGACTTAGGCAGGAACCAGCATTGTCTGTTTTTCAATAAAGGCTTTAACTTTTGTATTTCTAGTAGGGCCAAACTTAAGCCATAACCACACTGAGAAAACCCTCTGTTAAAACAACCATTCATGCATTGGATTGGGAGTTTCAGAGAAAAGCCCCAAAACCTGGATCTTCTGCTAAACTTTCTGTGAGTCATTCCCAATCTTTAACCATACCAAAGCCACAACAGCTGGTGCCCAAGTTGCAATGACAGCAATCTGGGAAGTATTTTGCTCAGTGTGGTCCACCTATGTAATTTTAAATGGCCAACAGTTGGTATCACAGGGGATTCTTAATCCTGAGCTAATTCTTGTGAAAAAAACACATCAGTCTGGCATGCAGGCAACAGAGACAATGGAGTATGTATGTATTTTCATTTGTATAATGGATGATACAAGGCTAAAGTTTCATTTTTTAGCAAAGGTACAATCTTTCCAGTGTGTAGGTAGAAGAACTGAGCAAAGGAAAGTAATCCAAAGAGAAGGTGCCCCTTACCCAGTGTACACAGCATAACACTTGATCTGCATTTGTGGAACATAGGACTAGAAGACACTTTGCTCTGCACTTCCAGGTTCAGACTCGTAATTTCAACCAGTGTTGCATGTAACTGCTTTCACAATTTTCCTGAGCAGCACCATCAGAACAGCTGGGTTTCTTGTATCTCCACCACTCAGGATGGGAAGACAGTTTGTCACTGTTTGGACAGGTATGAACTACCTCTAATTTCCAGGTAATAACTATCTTTTGACTCTCAGCACCTGCTTACTGTTGTGTCACTATCACTTCACATTTATCTGAGCTAGATTCTCTTCCTCCCTATGTGTATCTCCTTGGTGTACTTACTACAAGCAAGTAAAATCTTGGTTTCTCTTTTGCTAAGATGATGAAAACCAAAGTCCTGGCCTCTCTTCTTTAGAGCAGCTGTCCATCTGCTCGATGAGTTCATCCACCTTGGAGACGAGGGACAGGAAATGTCTAAGTGCAGTTCAAAGGTCTTTGAATAAGAGCCCAACATAATGTCACCACTACTCCTTTCTCTGCTGGATAGCCCTGTCTTGCCCATTCAAGGATCATATTTGTCTTTCACAGATGCCTCAGACTGCCTGTTTCACAGTCCTTGCCCACTCCAGGGTGGGTAAGCCTGCTTCAATACAATGAGACAGACTGTTTTCCCAAATGAGAGGCTGAGCTGAAGGAGCACTTCTAGGCTCACTGCCAAACTTCTGCCTCTTGGCTCCTAACTCTGCTGAACCAGGAGTCACTGCGTGTCACTCAATACTGGCTCTTGTGCTCTCTCTCACGCGCATTTTGTAGACTGCTAATCCCTTCCAAAGTCACCTAGCATATGAATGTGCCTGGGAGTTGTTTCCAACTGATAACATGAAGGCTTGTGCTCTTTTTTTTAACTAAAATCCTCACCTTGCATTATACTCTTGGATTTTATCCATTTTTATTAACCCAGTCCTCTTGGCTGCTCAGCTATTCCTGTACCATATTCCTACACCACAAAGTACTGCCACCATTTGCCAGCATTAGGGCATTAGCCCACTCCATCCTTGCTTGCACTCTCTGAGTATTTCTCATTAAAATGTCCAACAAGATATTATGTCCATGATAAAAATAAGAACCTCTCCATCAGTGCACCGGGAAAGAGACTGCTTTGACAGAGGGAGGTATCAGAAGTGTCATTTGGCAGGAGTTTGTAGAGAATCAGTGGGTGCCTGTGATGGTTCTTCCTCACATCCATTTCCAGTTAGTGAACTGAATTTCTGAGGCAGCTCATGTGCAAATACAGGATCATGTAAGTTTCCTTAGTGTGCCGGTGGGATTGTGTGAGTTGGCATCATTCTTTTTAGCTTTTGCAGCCCACTTATGGGTTGGGTGAAAATGGACATAATTTGAAGGATTTTTTCCCCTAAGGCACGAGCCAAGGTTATTAAGGCATACATCATGTCTATGGCAGTCAGAAACACTCTGCACAAATACCCAAATACCTTGTACCAACCCAAACACTGGTGTGTGATTCCATACACAAATGTGGAAAATAACCATGTGTAACTACTTTCAGTTTGCTCCCCATCATATGGGAGGTCTTCTGCTAAATGAGGACAGTGATGGACAGAAGGACGGATTGATTACCTGTCAGATCCATTCCATGCACATTCAAACTTGTCAAAGATGCAGTCGTTTTCATAGAGGGAACATAACTTGCTTCTAAGGTAATCATGGACCTGTTTCAAAGAAAATAACTGTTATTCTTGAAATCAAAGAAAACATAAGATTCCACAACCAGCCCTTCACTTTCTGTGTTATCTCCCATGTTCACTTTCAAAATATGCTGCATAGATTGGTAGGTCTGCAGAAGATACTGTGTTTAAACTTCAAAGAAGCTAACTGTACTTTTCCACAGCCCAATTAACCAGGTGCTACAGAATTACTATTACAGGAAGGCACAAAACATGCTTTCCTCAGCAGGCTGCTGACCACCCCTTTTCAACATATTTGTTTCCTGCTTGGGTGATTTTCTCAGTGCTAGCCCAATTCCCAGAGACATTTCACCACTTGATACCTTAGATGGGCTAATTAGTGTGCAAGAAATCGAATTTAAATAGTAACAGAAATGCCATATTCCAAGATGAGTGGACTCTCACTTATGGCAGAAAGAACTTGGCTCTATTAAAAGAACCTTTATGGTATCACATTTATTTTTGTAAGGTATTTTAGAAGCCAAATACAGCACAAGGTTGCAGTTGCACAGGCTGCAAATAAGAACACTAATTTAGCCCAAGAATTTCTCCTATTTGGCTGAGATTTAAAAACAATGTTGCAAATTCTCACTAACTAGAAAAGTGGGAATACCCAGCAGATCTCTCTCCTCTAGGACACACATCTCCGCTGAACAAGGACTATCATAAAGATATGATGCAAACTGTTTCAGTCTTGCTTAATATGATTAGTTTTTTTTCTGGATGATTTGGTTTCTTCCATAAGGAAATAATAAGGTAGAAAATCCCTGCCCAGATAAATTTACTAATGCACTTAAACTCTAATATTTTCTTCTAGCTACTGTAGCAATTGTACAAACAAAGATGTGTAGGTGACCTCCTGGAGAAACACACCAATCCAATGGCTCAGGGATATAATTTAGTTCTCCCATCCTGAGATTACAGGTTCTTGCAAGTCAAGTGAAATTGTTCCTGCTCATGGATCCTCAGCATCCTACTCTGGCCTGAGGGCACAAACATTTTTTTTCTAGTAAAATAACTTCTATCAATACCAGATGAAGGACAATAACCTTTCACTTAGATTTTCTTTAAACTGACCCATTTTTGATAGTCAAATTGTACAGCATCCAAAGAATATTTGTAATGTAAGATTATTAAGGATAATAAATTTTAGTTATGGGTCAATTTTCATTAATAAATGAACAATTTTAATGAACTGTTCATTAACAGATAGTGCCTTATACAGCAATTACTTGGTAAATAGCAGATAGGACATTCCACAATTAAATGCATTTACCATCACAGTAAGCAATAGGTCAGAACACTTTTACTATTGATACAGTTTCCTATACTCTCTGTAATGAAATACTTTCCTTTTCTCTTTACTTAAAACCTTTTTATGTTAGCGGTGTAATTTGTTACAGAACTGGAATGCTTTCCTTTGTCATGTTTGTGACCCCCAATACTTGGAAGAAATAGAAAGCTTGGGAAAGGCAGAAGGAAGTAGATCACATTTGCCTCCCTAAATGTCATTTCTAGGTCTTTTTCTTGTTACCATTTCCAGCAGCCATCTGTCATGACCACTGTCATGTACACACCCTTTGTAAAATGTGTCCAAGTCCACAGCTTGGAGCTGTGCCTTTCTATCAGCTTTGTCAAAAAGGATTTTGCAGTTTCTCTCTCAGATGTCTTACCTTGTCACGGCTGTCAGACTCACCCTACTGCCTTGGACAACCACCTTGTTTTTATGTGGGCCTTCTGATAACCACATTTGAGCACATTCAGACCCTCAGTGGGACTGTGAAAAACTAACTGGAATAAACACTTGATTTTCGCTGTTTGCATATTCACATGCCTCTACCAACTGAGGGTAAAATCAGATTTGCCTTGTCTGTTACATCTTGTTCTTACCATGTATCAATAGTACTTGAAAGCAAACTAAATTCATTCCTCACTAACTAGCAAGGACCTTTTCTTCACTGCAATCTTTTAGGTCTGACCCTCATGGAATTATCTAGCAATTCTGTGCTCCAGACTAAGAGAGCAACACAGCTACACAGGGACCTGTTTTATTGGGACTGAACAGACACAACCAGGAATTTCACTTGTCCAGTTTTGGACATTGGTCCAAATCCCTACTCTACAGACCCTGCCTAAAGTGGATCAAGCTATTACCAGCTGTGAATGTGCTCACCTTGCTGCTCCTAAGGCTTCTGCTGGGGTAATTCACCTGGCAGCATCAGAACAGTAACCTGTTAGGCAGGGCTGCCTTGCAATATTCATGTACTGGACATTCCATTGCCCTGCTCTTTTAGTGCTGTTCAGTGACCATACTCTGCCCTTTTTTCTTTTGTGTGAAACAAACAGGAGAAAATCATGTTGAAACATTGTCAGCAGATAACGTGTTCAGCAGGGCTGCAACAGCTGCTCCATGCAATAGCATTCTTTAAGCCACAGCATGGATACAAAAAAAGAACCTGTATGAAGAATTATTTTTTTGTTTGTTTGTTGGGTTTTTAATATTAAAATTGTAAGCTGATAATGAAGCAGTACAGTTGTGGACTCTGCTCTTTATTACAACTCTGTGTGAAATCTCCTGTTGTGACCCTCACTGTTGCAGCTAGGCAATACCTAAGTGCTTATCGTGCAGTGGATGAAATGAGAAATTAAATCTTAAATCACACCAATCCTATGGAATCCTGAGCTACTGGCTTCCAAAGCCCCTAGTTCCAGATTCTCCTTTAGTCTGCTACAATGCCCAGCAACACATCTGTGTATTCTTTACAAGGCAATGGGTAAATATTAGAAAATGGAAGGCAATCCAAAGATTTAAGAACACTGTTGTATTTTGCTATATTTATTTGTATTATATAAGGGGTTTTGTTCTTGTGGGACTTGGGGTTTTTTTCTATAAACTTCTGACTGCAATTATCAGTACTCATTTTTCCCCATCTCAGCATGAAGAAATATAACTTTTTAACTGGCCCTACTGTTGGGTGCCAGACTGATTTAAAAGTGGCCAGCTTGTTTCACAGCTGCTTACATTAAGAAATAAAAGCAGGTGTCAAAATCAAGACAAACAGGTTTGCTTGACCAACTATTTCTCCCCAGCACAAGGCTGCCCTGCTAAATTAGCATAGGTATAAAGTAATATATTACCTAAGTTACCAAAACCGGAGATTCTATTTTGTTATATAAAACATAGTCTCACCATTACCCTCCCACTCCATTTTCACAGCATATCAACATTTCTAACACATTCAGCACTTAAAGCACTGCCATTTTAAGAGCAAACCCAATTCTGTAGTCTTAAAGGTAAACAGGCTCAGACTTTCCAATATTAACACACAGAGCAGTGAACACTATCCAGTGAAATGTAATGGATGCATTTAAGAACACTGGGGCCCACTCTGTCTACTAAATGCTAGCTAAAAAATGCTGGAGAATTTTGTTTGTTTTGACAAGAAATGCTACCATATTCTCATGGTGGTTTTTTAAAACCTGTCTTAATTATAGTTACTGTGAACTGCTGTATCCCACCTGCCATTACTTAGACACAGAAAACAAGGGACTGATCCAACACTGTCAGAGGATTGTCTCTCAGTGAGCAGCACAAGCCAGATGAATGGCATTCTTCCTACTTTGCATACACTTTTTTTATGTAACTCAACAGTTTTTTTCTTACTGCATTTTCCTAAGCAGTTTCTGTGTCACAGACATATTTTCCTTCTTCAAGCCAGAGTCAAAAAATGTAAGCTCAGCCCCCTATTGCCAAACATAACAGATGTCAGAGTACAAACTTAGTGCTGGCTGGAGCCACTGGCATTTTGTCTGGATAATATCTCAATGAATTCAGGCAACCAGATGTGTCTGGCATTTGTGAGCTGCTGTATCAGTGGTGATGCCAGGGTTTAACATGGAACACTTCTAGAACTAGGCAAAAGGGAGAAACACACAGAGGAAGTTGTAAAAAATAGTTCTGAAATGACAAAGATGTAAACTCTCAGCAGTTCCACCAGGAGCAGAGCGCTAAGAAACACACAAAACCTTTTCCTCAGCTCCTTTTAAATGTTAGTAGTGAAATACATAATTTGAAAGCAGATGCCAAAGTGATGATATCTCGTTAGAATAATAATTTCTTTTGAGTTCAATCCACAGGGAGTGCTACCTCAACTCCCCAGGCTTTACACTTCCTTACTAATGCTGCTATTGCCCTTTTCCTGCTATAAGGATGCCACTGTGAGGATTTTAACCACCTTGATTAATTCTCTTAGCTTACTGCTTGTCAGATAAGGTTATGAGAAGTTTACAGAAACATCCGGTTTTTGAACACTGAGATCCTTCTATAAGGTTGCATTTTAAGACTTAGGAGATTCCTACCTGGTATGTTTCTACAGGCTTTGTTTCCATGTTCAGATCCCAAACCTTGACAGTGAGGTAATCTCTTGTAAGCATGTATCTACCACTGTGACTGAATTTGACATCTGACACTGAAGAGATAATTTCTGAAAAAAATGATCTGTTACTGGGGTCTTCTGGTTCTTCATAAACTGTTCAAAGAAAAAGAAGCAAGAGACAGAAGTCAGAATTGTATAAAATAACGCTCTGTTTTACAATCTGAAGTGTGCACTTCCCATCAAACATGTAATTCAATCTACCAACGAACATGATAAAGAATTAATTGTATCTCCAGCACTTAATTTATTCTTTTAACTTCATATAAAAATACAAACTGTAGGCGTTAAACATTACAATAATTAACGTTATAGCTACGGACTCAAAGCATGACTTTAGGAAATTATGCAAATACACTGGTCAGTTGATTACAGATACCTATAGCAAGGCATTTCATGCTTTCATCCTTTCTGGGGTCTGCATAACCCATTTCCCGATGTAACCAAAATCCAGGTGTCCCTGTAACATGAGAGGTGTGTTCATGTGGTGTCACAACAGTCCTGGCAACCCTGGGAGAGGCATTTACTCAAAGCCTGCCCTGCTTGCCAGAACCAGCTGGCCTGGCTGCAGGCTACTCATTGGTCATGTCTGAAGGCATCCAAGATTTAAGGATGAGAATTTTAGAAAGCGACTGCAAATTGCAATTACCTCTTCCTGAGAGGTGAGCATAAAACAGACAGGGATTTACCATGTGGATGCATGAACTACATAGTTGGTGTGCAACTGCTGACACTTCTGGAGACCACTGAACTCCCTGAATGTGATGGCCAGCAGTTCTCTGTGATCTGACAAGGCAGCAGGTTATGAAATATTGCTTATACGATGTTCATATGTGAAAATCCAGCTCTTGTAGTTAAGAGATTGGTCATCCCTGTTCAACTGTACATAAGCATGATACTGGATGACTCTACCCCTACCTCAGGGGTGACTAGAGCAATTATATTGTCTTTCTGCAGGTATCTGTAGCTCTGTGATCCAACTGACCTCTATGGGGAACTTCAATAGAAAGTTGGGCTTGCAAAATCATAGGGTTTTGGGACCTATGCCTAAAATATTCTTTGAAAATTGGCAATTTAGTGAATTTCACTTTCAGGTTTCAAAAGCAGGTGAAGAAAAGCCATGTGATGAAACATGAAAGCATGCTGGAAGTAGAAAAACCTTTTACTGTCAGTCAAAATGAAGTTTTTTGTATAGGCCACTGGAACATTTCTCTCACAATTATTTTATCCATGACTATGATTCAGACTGTTGGAAGCAACAAGGTTAGTTTGCATTAGGTGAAATAATGCTCTGCTGAAAGTTAAGGGTGAGTATGTGGGAGAAGTATGTGGGGTATTGCAAAAAATTATGGGCAATTTTCTTTGGGGGTGGGCAGTGGAATGCAGCCAGGCATGCACATGAGAATAAGGTCTATATTTAAACATGCACCACACATCTGAATGGTAATGAACTACTTCAAAAAGAGCAAAAAACTTTTCAGATAGACTGTAAATGAACAACTTTAAATAGCTCTTCAAAATTTTGCCTAGACATTCTGCAAAGCAGGTATTTTGTAATTATCCTGTCAGATTTTCAAGAGAAGTCTGATGAGCACAAAGCAATTATCATTTCTCATACCTCTTCCCTTTAATCTGTCCAAACTATAGACTTGTCTGGCAGGAATTTCATCCTCCTAATTATGATGTGAAGCTGTTATTAAAACCAGGAAAGAAAAAAAACAAAACCCATTCTAACTGAACTACACCTTCATTTATAGCTTAGATATATTTTCTTGGCTCTATGCTGCTCATCCAACTCCCAGTGATTAGAAAAGGAGTGATATTTGTACCTGAATATTCTGCATTCTGTTAATGAGATTAAACCATTTCACTCTTTATCTGCCCTATTTATTGCTTTTCTATGCTTACTGTACTAATATTAGAAAGACTTAGATTAATTAACTGTGGAACTAACAGAGGCATGAAAGTCTCGTATCACTACAGAAAGAAAGATAGCAGTAGAAATTTTATAGCAGCAATTCTTTGGAGATAGTTCCTCTAGTCAGCAAAACCAACACAGGAAAATTGTTTCAGGAAATTAAGAGCAGCTCTCAGTGAAAAGAAGAGAAACCTTAGCAACTACCAGCATCTACCTGAGCAACCAGCACAGGGCATTAGCCTCAGGAAATGAAGGTGAGAGAGTGTTCTTGGGACTTGGCTATTTCTGGTTTAGCATCAACATAAGGTTATGCACATACTGCAAAAAAGCACCATCCTCCTTCCCCCCACCTTTGCCTAATACTAGTGGAGTAACTGGAGACAGAACAGCAGTGAAGTGACAGCCTTGTAACTTGGACTTCAGGCAAGCAATTCAAATTCAGCCCTGACCTCTCCAAGCTGGTAGGAAAAAACCATGGGTCTAGCCCACAGTTTCCAAAACACCTTTTCCGTTTATTACTGTTAAGACTTATTTTGGAGGGTGCTCTTACACCCAGGAACAATCAGGACCTGAAACATGAGATTTCAAATCTAGCTTACTTCTCTGTATTTAAATCTTGTTAGATCTGAACTTTACTGACATTTTCTTACAGATTTTATTATAGTCTTTAATTAATTTCATCATTAATTTATTAACAACAAACATCTTCCATAAAAAAGGGTATTTAACTTTTGTTATTATTGTTCTTGATAATGGTCACAGTGCTAATTACACGAAAGACACAAAGTTACCTGTCCAGCTACCTAATGAGCATAGGAATCACAAATGATGTGCTGAGTTCTCACATGACACTTGATCAGACTTAGATGAGACCTTGATGACAGGACTCTGGCATAGAGAAATATCACGGGATTACAGAGAAAAGCAGAGCATATCTCTGAGTACAGCCAGTGTTGAAAGAGAAGCCTGCCAGGAAGACACTGTTCCTGCCCCTTATGCCACCATCACATACTTGGGTAAACTGGGAAGTCTGCTTAGGGAAATAAAAATGCTCAATTCCTTTCTGCACAGCTCACAAGTTAAAATCCACAGCAGCTCCTCACAGAAGTCCAGACTTTGCAGAGAAGGATGGGTTCATTAAAGGATACTTGCCAGAGCGCTGCTTTCCTGAATCCTGAAGAAAATCTGTAGCATAAAAATATGCTGCTTCTTTCTTAAAAGGAAGTACCATCTGCTGAAAACCAAACTCTTATCCCTCATAAAAAATATTCTTGTTTCCTTGTGAATTTGTCTGATCTAATGTAGAATGAAGACTTTCCTTTTCCAGTGGATAGGAAAGGCATCTCTAATGTGTGCATTTATCATGCAGAAATGTATGCATGTATCTAAAGCTAAAAAATTTAAATGGCCAGGAACACCAAGAGTAGGTGGAAAGGTCCATTTCACAGCTTCCCTCCCAGACACTGGCCAAAAGAAAGCAGATGCCTTGTGCTAAAAGAAGTGTGTTGCACTAACACCTTGTGACTCTCATCTGCACTCTGAGGGTCACAGGTGCTGCCACCTCAACTTCCCATTAATATGGACCTGATTCCACGCACATGAAACTGCTGTTTATTGGAAAAGATACATCCAATAAAGAAAAACAAAATCCAACCCAAAGTAATTTTCAAGTTCAACTCTAAACAAGTATCTGAGCAGAGCTTTAATCATTGCAGAGTGTAAATTCTGGCATATGTGAACTTTAAAAAATATTAAAAATAATGCTAAAATTGTCTTATATGGTGGGTGCAGTGTCACAATCCGATATCGTATAAAAAATCCTGTATTCCTCCTGAAATCATCACAAGAAGGAAAACCTGAAGATGAACAGAAACATGCTCCACAGATTTTGTAAGAAATTCCATCAGTCATATGATAAAATTATAAAAAGCTTTAAAGACTCATTCCCTCTAGCAGAAAAAAACCCTGTTTTCTTTCTACTTATGAACAAATAATAACTTATTAAAGCTTTTTTTTTTTTTTTTAAGAGGCTACTGTTAATAGTTTTTATCCTGTCCTGAAAACTTCTGATTTTAGAGCATTTGCTGTTACTTAGATTTAAATCACTGGAAATCCTGCACCATTAAATAAATCTCTACCTCCCTCCAAAGACAGCTAATGGATATAGAAAATCATCCAGTTCCTGTTCAAGGGTCACAGCTACAAAGGGATGAAAACAGCTTTAGCAGCAGTGGAAAGAGAGGCAGTGTGATTGATTACTGAGAGGGAGAGGACCATGGAGACCGGGGCCATGGAACACGGGGCCAAGTTCATGGAATGTGGCAGGGAAAATAATCTTTCATTTTTATTATATAAGCAAGTAAACATTCTTCAGCTAGACTGAATTAAGAACTTTTTACAGATAAACCGCTACTTTACACTGGTACACAAACAACAGGTGAATTTCAGCTGGATCTGGAAATACCAGTGGTGGATCAGGTAATCCCTCAGTGGGTTTTAATTTCATGAACACAGAAAATGGGTTCAGTGTCAGGCCAAATAATTTATCATTTAAACTAAGTCCCTATTTAATTCCAGATCCCAAATGAAAATGGCTGAAATACCTGATTAGAACATACTTGGAAACAGTAGTTTGAAATGTATGGGATTTCACTGGTCTTGACAGACCAGCCACAGGAACAAAAGGAGCAAGCAATATGTTTTCCTAATAGATGATTTAAAAAAAAAATTAACCAAAATTACAAATTATTTAATTAATTATACTCTAATATTTTTAGGTGGGAAATTAGTACTATTCCTGGATCAGCTGTTATTTGCTCTATCACATATATTTCACCATTTAGCATAAAAAAACCTAATAAAAAAATTTAATTTGAACTTCTATGTAAATACTAATATTGTTTTTTCTTTTTAAGTACCTGACACTTGTTACTAATGCTCAACACAGAAAGCACTTTTTTGATGCTGTTTAATTCAATAAATGCTACGTCTTGAGCTAAGCATAATTCTGGGCTTATCTCTAATGTGGTAGAGATCTCAAGAAGACATAAAAATGGGCAATGAAAACGACCAGAAGTACCAAATTGCTTCCATGCAAGTAAGGGCTAAATAGACTGGGGTCTCTCAACCTAGGAAAGACTGAGAGGGTGGCAATTAAGAGTGGCATGGAAAGCATGAA